CTATAGTAGTCGGAGGAGAACACGTGGTCCTCGGTGTACACCACGTTCAGCCGCAGGGACCCCAGATCGTCCGGCTTCGGGCTCTTACTGCCGTTGTCCCGGGGCTGAAGAAAGTACCTGCAGGAGGGCACGCGGACGGGCGCGTGGGCGGCAGCACTCTCCAGGGAGCTGGGCTCCTCAGGCTCGTCTGCGTGGGGGTCACAGGCTGCCCTGCAGGACGCCCCGCAGGGTCTGGTCACCAGGCGTGCGCCCCAGCGGGTTTCCTAGGGGGCTGGCCTCACCGCCGCGGGGGCGGGAGCTGACGGGGACAGGCGCCGGGGAGGGGTGGTCTGCCGCGAGGTGTGCAGCTTTAGGGGGACTCTGCTGCTCGTCGCGGTGCCTTGAAGACTGACCCTGACGACGCAGCAAATGCAGGACAGAATTGAAACTAACTCGCTGTGGTGGCTTCTGACATCAGAGGGGACGGTGACCTCGTGCGGTGGGCCGGGCAGGCCCTGGGCACACAGCCGTTAGGGGCTGTTTTCTGACGGCCACATCTCATCTTTGCCGCTACCCAGGGCGGGGGTGTGGACAGAGCTTGCGTCCGGGGCACTCGGCCACCGGGTGCCTTCGGTGGGCTGCATGGGCCAGGGGCTTGCTAGCGTGAGCAGGAGACCTGGCCACGCGAGGGCCCACGCCAGCGCCGTCTTCGCGGAGCCCGCGAGTTCCTGGCGATAGGAAACTGCCGTGGCGCAAGGGCAGCGTGACGCAGAGCAACCACCAGGACACCTGCGCTCACGCGCAGTGTCTGTCAGGGAAACGTGCGACTCGCCAAGAAACAAAACAGAGACCTACTGCTGATGCCAAGCACCGACCACCCGAGAAGACGAGCGGCAGGCACCGGAGCTGCGGGCCGTCCTGACCAGCTCCGAGGCAGAGCCGACGCCCGCACGTTGAGAGGCAGAACGTGGAGAACCGCCCAGATCACAGTGCCCTGGGAATGGCCCTGGGCAGGGCCTGCCGCGTGGGCGTGCGGCCCCGGTAACCCGGCCTGGCTGCTTCCGAGTCCAAGGCCACGTCCAGCCTTGCCTCCTTCCCTGCGCTGGGCCCTCACGCCTCTCCTCTCACCGAGCCAGAGCTACGGGCGCCAGCACACGGCCTCTGTGCCACTGTCCTGGCTGCCCGGGGGCGGCTCTCGCTGGCTTGGACGTCCCGTGTGCCGGACGCTGCCCCTTACCACGCCTTGTGGGAGCCGGACTGACGCAACACCTTCAGCGGAATCCGCAGTTCTCCCAGGAACTCGTCTCCGAACTTCAGGTTACTGGCATTCCAGAGATCGACTCTGAAAACGACAGCAACGCACAGGTCTCACCAACGGACAGGCCGGGTGGGGCCTGGTGCAGACGCAGCCGTCAGCTCCTGCCCGCGAGCTTCGGCGAAGGTCTAGACTGAGTCCGTTAAACCGTGTCGAACCGGGTGCGGCTCTGGGACGGAGACTTCGTTTCCCGGGTGTGAGGAAGAGGCAGGGGTCGGGGGCAGAAGCGGAGCCTGTGCCCGGGTCTGGAGGGGCTGAGGCCCCCAGGATGCAGCCCTCCAGCGTGGTGACGGGACGGACCTGCCAGGCCCTGCTGTGCGCGCCGAGACGTTGAGCGGCGGCTGCCACTCTGGGCCGGCACCGTCTTCCGCTAGGGGCCGCGGAGCTGCCTGCTCGCCCTGGGCGGTGAGCTGGCCTCGCCAGGGCCCTGTGGGGTGTGCCTCGCGGCTGTGCCCGGCACGAGCCTGCCGTTCTGAACCGCAGGGCTCAGCCCAGGACGATGAAGGCACCAGGCCCGGTGGACAGGTGCCCCTGTAACAGCCAGGTGCTCCCTGCTCCCACCTGACGAAAACTCGGTGCCTCTGAACACTCCTCCTCCCTGCACTGAGAAGCTTGCCCCCCCCCCAGTTGTGTATGAACCACCAGCGTGAATCCCAGTCTGGGGCCAGCACACACACAGGCACCATGGCTGGGTCGCGAACACCCGCAAACCGCAGCGCGACGTGCGGCTCTGTGTGAGAAGTGCATGCCGGCGTTCCAAAGAGCCTGCTGGCGTCCAGCTCGCCAGGGCCTGCTCAGTGCCCGACTCGCGGCCGTGGGCTGCATCTGACGGACACAGTGCGGGCCGGTCGGCAGGGCAGGTGCCTAGGGTCACGGCTGCGCCAGCCATTACCTACAGAGCCGAAAACCCCGCGGCAGGCAGGTCTAACTCTGCCGCGGCAGCCGGGCATCACCGTGGAGGGGAGGGTCTAGAAGCCGGGTCCGTCTGTTGTCTACACAAATCCCAGCAAGAGCAGCTGCAGCCCCGGGACACCCCGCCCTCAAGGAAGGGGGTCTAAACCGCGCAGACCAGGGAAGCCCTGTGGCTCCCCATGCGCAGACCTGCCCTGCGTGGCTGCCCGGCTGCAGGAGCCCCCGCTGCGACTCACCCCATGGCTCTGAGCTCTGGGGGCTGCGGAGACGCCTGCGCTGGTCCTCACTTTCATGGGGACAAAACAAACGCCATGACCAGACAGGGAAGGTGGACACAGGGCCAGGGGCAGGTGGTTTCTCGGCGTCCAGCCTGGCGTCTCCCCAGGGAACGGGAGCTCGCGGAGGCGCCATCACCCTCCCGCTCAGCTGGGGGCTGGCGCTGCGCAGGCGTCAGACCACGCACGTGGGGCGCTAGAGCAAGGTCTCAAAAGCTGCTGCGACCGCAATGTGTCTGCCGCTGCGGCCCCAGAGGTTTCCAGCGGGCAGAACCGCGCAGGCGCGAGCAGCACGGGTGTTTTGACCCTCGCTTCCTGTTGCGAAGTGAACCCCAAGACCACGCCGGCCTGTCTGCGCAGTAAACGTCTTCCTGGACCGTGGTCCAAACGTCTGGGACGTTTACGATAAACGCTCTCGCCTCGACCACAACGTCTGACGTCCTGGCGTTCGAGTCGCCAGGAGCGTACAAACCTGTTCTGTCCCTGCCCGTTCTCAGAAACAACGCAGACGAGCAGAAGAAGCGAGTTCGGACCGAAACCGCCAGGCAGGAGCCCGCGCCTGGTTTTCCCGCTCACCTGATTTCGAGTCTGTCCACGTCCTCCTCCTCGAAGTCAAAGTGGGACCTTTTGCTGTAGCTGCAGGGTCTGGTCACCTGGTCGCAGGGAGAGAAGCGCTCAGACCGCGCGGCTGGGCAGGGGCGGCCCCAGGTGGTCCGGGAAGGAGCCGGGGCTGCGCACCCCACTTACGGGCGGGTAGCAGAGGCAGGATTGGGACTCGGGCCTGTCTCCTGAGTGCCTGAGTTTCGGGGGTGCCGGCACCTGCCGCTCACAGAACCCCCGAGGGGAAGACCAGGGGCCTGCGGGTCAGGCGGGAACAGGCCCCGAGGCCGCAGCTGCTTCTCAGCCACTGGGGACCTGAGCTGTCCCTGGACTCTCGGTGGGGCTGGCCCTGCCGCCTTTGCTCCTGACACACCATGGAGGGGACAGAGGCTGCCCTGCCCCTGAGGGCCCCACCTCCAGGTCCGCTAGGACCCCGCCCTGCAGGAGACACTTGGCCACCCACGGCCAGCCCCAGCTGTGCCCTGGCGTCTGGGGAGGGCTGAGAAGACCGAAAGAGCAAAACACTGCTGTGTTCCCCTGCTGGTCTGGGGACCACGAGTTCCTTAAAACATAAAAAGGGCTGGGACCCCCCCCAACCACACCCCGCTGCCAACAGGGGCCAGGGCAGTGCCGGGGCTGTGCAGAGACGGCCCAGCTCAGCTCCTGGAGGTCGCAGGAAGTGCTGTTTCGAATTCCCTCCCAGCCACCGTCCACCGGGGCCAGGTAGCCCAGCAGGTGCGAGGCCGCCCCATGGGGACAGGGGGGGTCCCTCCTGCCTGGCCTCCCCCCCTGCCCCATCTCAGGGCAGCAGCAGAGGGGTGTGAATTTCGAAGTCCCCGCAGTCCCAGCACTTTGGGAGGCCGAGGCGGAGGACCACCTGAGCCCCGGCTGCAGCGGGCTGTGACGACGCCGCTGCGCTCCAGCCTGGGCAACAGAGCGAGACCCTCTCAAAAAATAAAAAAAAGAAAGAGAAAGAAAAAGAAGGAGGTTTTAGCTCAGAGCTCTAATCCAGAATTTGACACTAGGTCACGTTGCTTCAATCGCCTAACCTCTGAGCTTTGACCTTCTGACCAGACACCGATAGTAGCAGCTCTGGTGACTGAGGGCCCCCGGGGCAGCTCTGTCCTTCCGTCCGCAGCTGCAGACACCCCACGCCCGTCCCCACCCCAGCAAAGCCTGCTCCCGCAGGGGCCGTCTGACCCCACACGGGCTCCCGTCCATGCTGCCTCCGAAGCCCTGAGCCCGGCTCGGCCCCGTCTTGGCCGCTGCCTCCGCCTCCCCGGCCCGCTGCCTCCTCCCCACAAGACCCCACCCTCAGTGCGCACTTCGCCGCGTGGGTTGCCGGGCGAGCCCCCGCCTCTCAGCAGGGCCCACGACGGCAGCCCGTCAGCGAGCCCCGGGCCGTCCGGGAGGACGCCAGCTGTCAGCCTCGTCTGCGAGTCATTAATTAATCCAGTAGGTTGAGACCCACATTCTCTCAAAATGCAACAGAAACGCGCACAACAGAAACAGCCGCGTCCTGGGCCGCACAGAACACGCAGGTGGACGCGGACGCCCGAGCAGACAGAGGCTCCGGTGAGGCCTGTTCCCCGCCGAGCCCTTCCAGGCAGCCCAGGCACGGAGGCCACATGCACGCTGCCGACCCTTCTGCATCTCTGACCTCGAGGCTGGGCCCCGCCCTACCCTGCTCTGGTTCAAACCATCCTCGCCGAGCTGTGCGGTGAGGACTCCCTCTGGGACGGAGGCGGCTCCTCTCCCCACGCCGGCAGCTGTCCCGGAGGACGGCTCCAGCCCCCAACACTAAGAAACGCGTGGGCTTCAGGCGCCCGGCCCGTTCCACGCAGAAGCCCCATCCTGCCCCCCTCCCCTGCAGCCGCGAACCCCTGCGCACACGCGTGGCCCCACCGCCTGGGCTCGCCCACCCGTACGCGCGACTGGCCACGTTCTCCATCCGTGGCCCATCCCCACGCTCGCTGCCCCGCAGGAAGCCCCGCTGGCTGCCCCTCTACCCTCTGCCCTGAAGTCGCCTCCTGGACCTAGCGCAGGGCACGCACTCGGGAGGGCGTCACACGTGACGCGGTCACACGCTGCGCAGCCCGGCTTACTTGTTCTGTTCTTTTCCTTTCGCTATTTTTTTGAGACGGGGTGTCGCTCTGCCGCGCAGGCTGGGGGCAGCGGTGTCGTCACAGCTCGCCACAGCCTCCAGCCCCGGGGCTCAAGGGCGCCCCCCACTCCCGAGTCGCTGGGACGCAGGTGCCACCGCGCCCGGCTGATTTATCTGTTTGTAGCAGAGACGGCTGATTTATCCGTTTGTAGCAGAGACGGGGCCTCGCTCCCGCTCTACAGGCTCAGCCCTCGCGCCTGCTGCTTGCTAGTCATGGCGTCTCACGTTCAGCCAGGTGACCTCATGTCTGAACCGTGCCCCTCACTGTTGCTGGTGACAAGTGCCCGCCCTGCTCGCCAAGGCCTGGGCGGGACAGCCACAAAACCAAAGACCCAGCACCAGACAAGCAAGACCCCAAAGTCCCGACCGTCTGGAAGGCATCGATCTGTCGGCTTTCGACTCAAACCTGGGCCTTTCTTTCCGGGGAGAGGAAGGAGGTGCCCGGAGAGCCAAGTGGGTCCGGATCCCAGGGCTGCCGGCGCCTCTCCCAAAAGGGCTCCCGGAGACTCCCACAGAGGCGCCGCAATACCAACCTCAAAGTAGAACACCTCGTCAAACTGGGGGTTGTTGGTCTTCTTTTTCACTTTTGTCTTCTTTGCTTCCGACCTGTCGCAAGAGAGGAGGGTCAGGATTAAACACACTGTCGACACCAAATCTCTCGGTCTCAGAACCGAGCTCTCAGGCCGGGCGCGGTGGCTCATGCCTGTAATCCTAGCTCTCTGGGAGGCTGAGGTGGGAGGATCGCTCAAGGTCAGGAGTTCGAGACCAGCCTGAGTAAGAGCGAGACCCCCATCTCTACTAAAAATAGAAAGAAATTAGCTGGACAACTTAAAACATATAGAAAAAATTAGCCGGGCATGGTGGCGCATGCCTGTAGTCCCAGCTACTCAGGAGGCTGAGGCAGGAGGATCGCTTGAGCCCAGGAGTTTGAGGTTGCTGTGAGCTAGGCTGACGCCACGGCACTCTAGCCCGGGCAACACAGTGAGACTCTGTCTCAAAAAAAAAAAAAAAAAAAAAACAAAGAAACAAAACACTGAGCTCTCAGACGCACGGGCAACTTGCCGCCTTACTTAGCTTGTGAACATTTCTGGCTCCAGCTGCAGGTGTGCGAACTGGGAGCCTTCGCTGGGCCGGACGCCCAGGTGAGGACGCGTGAGGACGCAGCGCAACAACTTAGAGCAGCAGAGGAAGGAAAGGAAGCCAGATGGGACAGGCCCCTGCGGCCCGCTCGAGCCCCACCCAGGGCCGGCTGAGGGGCGACTTGCCTGAGTGGTCCCGCCAGCGTCACCGTGGCGTAGGGGTCACACTGCCCGTTCACGATGGGGAGGCCTTGGCACTCGACGACGCTGGGGAAACAAAGGCAGAGGTCGGGGAGGCGCAGGTCACAGGCGAGGGCTGAGGTCAGGGGACACGGGCCACAGGCAAGGGTAGAGGTCGGGGGCCACGGGCTGAGGGCAGAGGTTGGGGAGACCCAGGTCACAGGCGAGGGTAGAGGTCGGGGGCCACGGGCCGAGGGCAGAGATTGGGGAGACCCAGGTTACAGGCGAGGGCAGAGGTCGGGGGCCACAGGCCAAGGGCAGAGGTTGGGGGGACCCAGGTCACAGGCGAGGGTAGAGGTCGGGGGCCACGGGCCGAGGGCAGAGATTGGGGAGACCCAGGTTACAGGCGAGGGCAGAGGTCAGGGGCCACAGGCCAAGGGCAGAGGTTGGGGGGACCCAGGTCACAGGTGAGGGCAGAGGTCAGGGGACACAGGTCACAGGTGAGGGCTGAGGTCCGGGGGGCGCAGGTCACAGGCAAGGGCAGAGGTCAGGAGACACGGGCCACAGGTGAGGGTAGAGGTCGGGGGCCACGGGCCGAGGGCAGAGATTGGGGAGACCGAGGTCACAGGTGAGGGCTGAGGTCGGCGGGGGGTCGCAGGTCACAGGTGAGGGCCGAGGTTGGGGGATGCGGGCCGCAGCCCGGCCTGGACCAGCCTCTGTCCTGGCTCCGGCAAGGACGGGCTTCCTGGAGCCCCGTCCACCAGGCGGTGACAGGCACACACGGGGCGGGGAAATGCGTGAGCGGGTGCGGCGTCCAGGGTGGGCAGCCCAGCTGGGGGGGCCCCACCTGCAGGTCCCAGCACGGCGCCTTAACCCAACAGCAACGCCGCAAGGCCCTGGCTTCCCACGGACGGGGCTGCTCTGGCGCTCTGGGCGCCTCCCTGCCTCTCCTGCAGCGTTGCAGAAGCAGGAACGACTCAGTCCCATTTCACAGACAGGGAAACTGAGGCCTGGACAAGTCAAGGGCTCACAGCCGGCAGGAACCGCCACCCACCCGGCCCCAGCGGGTCAGACGGCCCCACCCTGTCCCGGACTTTACTCATTCGTGGATTCCCACCCGCGGGCGGGGGCGGCTGCGACAGCTCAGGTTTGCTTTAAATTCTGGAATCGTCCCACAGCTCCGGCAACGTCCCGCCTGCTGATCCCACCGCTGTGCCGTTCCCGGGGCTGCTCCCACCGAGAGCCTTTTCTCGGGGTTTAGGTCACACCGTCCTGCTTCCTGGCCTGTCGCGTTTTGAGTGGCGGCTGAACGTCGTGAATTCCATGGGCCCGGGGTCGCGTCCAACCGCTGCTCTGAAGCTCCGCACAGCACCTGGTGGCGCATGCCGTGTGCGTGCGCAGGCTAGTGCCGCTCTGGGTGGGCCGGCTCCTCGCAATCACCCACGATGCCCTCAGACTCCCCGACCCCTCGGCCGGGCTCTGCGGGAGCCTCTCCCACTGCGGCGGGAACCTGCATCCCGGGGGGGGGGCTGCATGGTGGGGGCTCGGCTCGTTCGCTTCCCTCTGAGGGACACGGCTGCTCCCAGAGCCCACGTCCGAGGGACATGCAGCATGTTCCGTTGGTCACTCGTGTGTGGGGCGAGGGGACCCCAGTGTCTGTCCTCCCATCGGGTCACAGGCAGAGTCCGCGGCAGGTTGGCGAAAGACGGAGAATTGTCCTCCCCACGTCCGAGCTTCCAAGTCTCCCCGCGTCCCGGCAGGTGCGCCCGGAGCCGCCGCCCTCCTAGAGGCCCTCGGGCCCCTCTCTGAGCGTCTTACGGAAAATTTCCACGCAGGGGTTCATCCCCCGTCTGCAGCACGTGTGGGCCGTGCCGCTCCCATGCTGGGAGCGTTCCTGGAACTTCCTCCTCTCTCCGTTTTGTACCGTGTTTTCTTCCAGGTCCTGCTGGATGTGGTGGGGCCTCCCAGATGGACCCCTTATTCCTATTAGCTTCACCCGGTATTTTTCGACCTTTCTCTCTTCCTCTGCTTTCTGGGATATTTCTGTTTTTCTCTCAGATTATTCACCTGGTCTCTGGTCGTCCTCCTCCCTCCGCTCACGCGCCCCCCGCACCGCCCGGGCCCCGACTGCAGTTACAGGAAAGTATCTCGGAGCAGAAGGAGAGATCCACATCTCGGCCATTCGGCACAAAACGCACAGGCAGGGGGGAAGCCTGGTGGCCCCACCCCTCCCTGCCGAGGCTGCGCCGCCCCTCGGAGCCGCGCCAGAGCCCCACACCTGAACACGGGTGCCCCCGCGCTGTGCGGGAGCAGCCCCACACGGGACGCAGTCTGCCAACAGGAGGAGGGAGACACCGCTCCGCCCTCAGAGGAGCGTCTCACACCCTGAACGTGGAAACACACCAAGGGACCAGCGCGGCCAAGTGATCTGGAATTTGAAGTGCAAAAAGCACAACACGTATTTATTTTAACATTTATAGGTTTTGATGTTTAACATAGCCTTTAAAAATGGTCACAGCGTAACAGCCTCGTGGAGTAATAGCCCTGCAGACACCTTCCCCACGGGCTTGACTGAATGAGCCCAGCGTGCACTTACAGTGACGTCCCAGACCCAGAAGCGCCTGATAAATAAAACATTAAAGGATCAGAAAGTACTGCAAATTACTGTCTCCATTTTATCAGCGAGGAAACCGAGACTCAAAGATGAATTTACTTTCCCAAGGGCACATGGCCAGGGTTCAAGTCCAACTCCGACTGTCTCCAAAGCTGTGCTATGTGCAGAAGGGGTGGATGGTGGGTGGATGATGG